ATATATATACATATGTGTGTATATATATATATATACATATATATATAATATATATATATATACATATATACATATATATGAATATATATATATATATGTATATATGTATATATATATTATCATTTTAAAATGTTTAATCTAGATAAAATTATACGGTTTGCAATTTGAGTATGATGAAGGATTGGTTAGACTACTTCTCTGTTCATCAACCTTCCACATAACCTGCCCTTATGACAACATTACAATGACTTTTATTGGTTAATGATAAAGACCAAAGACAGATGGTCACCATATTAGGTTTCACTGCGGAAATCGAAAGGGGCCAAACAGTACTATGTGATTTATATGCCTTTGTTAGCACATTACTACTTGTGAGATTTTAACCCCAAAAAAAAAAAAAGAAAAAAAAAGAAAAGAAAACAAGGCGTTCAGAAGGTCACGAAGGCATGCGAGTTAACGTACATGTATCTCTAGAACCATTTATTTTTTCATTAACGGTTCGGTACTTAAAGGTGGTGCAGAGTCAAAGTTTCTGTTAAAAACTGGCCCTTATTGGTTATTCACAACTTCTTCACATTTTGGTAGTTGAGCAAGTTTCAAAGCGAGCCTACGGAGCGGTGCTACACAAATTACACAGTCTTGAAGTACAGAAAAATAACCCTGAACCACACTCTCATCACTATCTTACGTGGCATAGCCATTAAACGACAGGGGACTGAATTATAGACCAGTGCAACGGGGCAGTCCCCTACTCTTCTCGAAGGATGTACTGGGTTCTTTAATGTGCACACGAGCCAATTGTGTACACTGGGCCTACGATTTAAAGTTCTTATCCGATAAGACTTATCCGATATCCTCACGTAACCGGTCGGCCAATCAACCCGCCCGTTGTTTTTATCAGTGTCTCATTACCATTTTGAAGTTATTTGGTACTTTAATATAACTAAATAGTTTTAGGGTTAATAATTAAATTATTAAACTCACTGTACCTTCTTCTGAGGGTCTGTGTTGACGACGTGTCTCGACCCAGTTACTTGTTACATTAGCTAAGCTTGCTCGAACTCTGGCGTAGATTGGAAAGCCCATTGCAATAAAATCTGATTCCTTCATTTTTTCCATAGCGCAAAACGTTTTTAAGATATGCTGGCAGGCATCTTCGGCATCCCAGCTGTAAGTAAAAATGACATTTCCTATCAGCACTATAATTATAATTAACATTTTTGATCACAACATTGTTAGTAACAGAAAAAAGTTTGGATTAGTATACTCATAGCAGTTCATTTGTTTCGTCTAACCGTCATCAGATATATAAATAAAATCATCGATCTAATGTTAATTTTGATAAATAATATTAAATAAAATAAAATTTTGATAATAATATGACCGGCATATAATTAAAATGTTTTTCAAATATAAGGTAATATAAATTATAATACACCTATATAATACACCTATAATGATAAATATATATACACCTATATATATAATATATATACAGTATATATATATATATAATTTTATTATAATGTCGTTTTTAAAATTTTTCTAATTTGCTGTGTTGAATAATTTACCTTCCATAGTTTTTACTTTCAACTTGATAATATACGGTGTGTGTATTGTTTTTGATAACAGGAGCTCTCCACGACATAACCGTCTCAAGGTTCAGTGTGTTAATTCTAATATCAGTGGGCTCCCAGATTCCTAAGAGACCAATTGAAAACTTATTAAACGGTTGAGACGGCTTGTAATTACAAAAAATAATCAAATTTGCATTAATATAAAATTGTATCCATACAAACCGTGCCCCAACACAACCACAAAAATTCACACCTATATTTCTTTCTTCTGATATAGGCTCAAACAAAAAGGATACAGGCCTACTGAGTGGAATAGCACCTGGCAATGCTGGCAATGCTGTTTGTGCTTGCAATAGATAAAACTGTGTTTCGATAGGCGGTCGGAAGGTCTTGGACTCGCCTAAGTATTTATGCAGAAAGCGACTTCAGTGTGCCTACAATTCATAATAATCGACTGCCTCTAACACACTGACCACCCGAGAATTGAAAAAGCAATTTATAAAGTAGAATTAAATTGGGTCACTTGCAGGTAATAAAAGCGGATGAAATCATAATAATCTCAAGAATTACAGACCAATCTAATCAGCCTTCTGTAGAACAATTTTTTCAGTATTCACCTATGTTTTAACAAATGGCATGATCGCCGGCATTCTGAACTTTAATATACTTCTTGAATAGGTGTAACTCAGAGGTTTTTCCAACAACTGACTATCTAAAACATGGCGAATACACATTTATTTTTTGTAAGAACACATTTTATAAGAACACTGAGGCTGAAATTGCTTAAAAATCAAGAACGAAAAAAGAACAAATTGAGGCTGAGTTTAAATGCTGAATAAAGTTTTATTTAAAAAAAATCTTATCTGTACCTTTTTCAGTAGGTGTGACTAGTACAGTAATATATTACTGTAAAATAATTTTCCTCTATGTTTGAAAAGTGCGTAAATATAAGAACAATTTGGGCCTGAAATGGACAAAAAAATAAGAACACAGAGCCTGGGCAAGATTTTACTGGTTCCTATAAAATAAAAGCGTCGTGACAAAGTGCGAGCCAGCGAGTCATGCGATTTTTAATATTTGTTTTATCTGTAATTATTTTTATTAACACGTACTATTGTATTTATTTATTTATTATTACATAAACAGTTAATTACTTTCGTAAATTTCTAGGGGAATATTCCACCGCGGTAGTAATAGTATAATTGACGCATTGTGATTGGCTATATGTTCATGTTGCAGGAGGAGGAGGACGACGTTGATGGTATGCAGGTTTTGCCTTCGCTGGTGAAGTACATTAATATATAATACATTACATTAATAATAATATAAAAAATATGGATGCGGCAGAAAAGCGCTTCGCATGTCTTTTGGATCCGTAAAAGTGACACTAACAATAATTTAATATAAATTATGATGTTCATATGACCTTCTCATCGAGTAGCCTAATACTAAAATCAAACCATTTCCTTCTATCAAAAAGTTACTTAAATCAATCCGTGCCCAATAATCCCTGGCTGAGTCTAATATTAGGAGTCGCAACAAGGCCTCGCCAACCTCGAAACCAACAGGAACAGGGAAGGGCGACCGACGAAGAGGGGGGTTTAAATTCTGAAAGCCGAATTGTACCCACCTGCATGTTAAATCACGTTCGATAACAACTGATGTTATTGTTCTTTAGACTTATCATGATAGAATAAATAAATAGAATACTAAAATAGTATGGGTTATTCTATAACTGGGGCCCACACCCACCTTTGACCCTGTTACAGTTTCCTCTCTTGGCGGCCCTGACCACTGAACTACTGTACAGACTCCCTAAAAATTTGCCACACATAGCTCCATCATCCTCTTCCATCATTTCACCACGTGGCCCTGAATGCATTCATTGTTATAATTTGATTGCTAATCATACCTTTGTTTTTATATTATTTGGTATTTACAGTCAGATAATTAAGAAAAATTTATAAAAATAATACAATAATTATAATATACCAAGCACCCAGGGGCATTATTGTTCAGGTGGTTTTTCAGGAGCCAGTGTTTACTGGTAAATGTAGTCCACATTGATGTTAAAAAGTGTTTTTGTATGCCTTATAAATCCCTAATTAGCAGTTAATTTAATTCCACTGGGGTAAAACATTGATAATTAATTCAATGTTGAAAATTATGTTGCTTTCATTGCATCCGTCCATAGTTACTAGAGACAATTCGAAGAAAAATTGAACGCCCTAAGCGTTTATTCCTAATGGCCTTTATTTTTGGAAGGGCTGGGGAGGGGGGCGGTGGGCGTTTATTTGAGGGGCGTCTGTTCAAAGAAGGGCATTTATTTGAAGAAATACTTGAAATTATTGTTATTTAAAACATGATGGATCACAGACAGGATGTTAGCCCGTAAATTAATTATTATTAGTCTTTTATGCATTTTAAATTATGACGTTTAATCTTTTAATTGTGTTTGGTTTCATGTTTTGTAATTGTCTTTGCTAGTTATGTTTATTTTGTGTAAATTAAATAAGGTCCTCCGTCCATGCATGGGGCGAATGGGCAGTGTGAGTGAAATGAATATTACATAGCCTATTACATAGCTATAGTCAAAAAATATGTTAAAAATAGTTATTATCATTATTGTAATTATTTAAAAAATTGCACAAGTGTTTATTAGCGTAGACTTTTGTGTGCCTCGCATGACTCGCACTGTTGGTACACGTCCCGCAAGAATTACATTCATGGCTCGCATGAATTGCGTGCCTCGCTGGATACTCGGTGACTCTGGCTCGCACTTTGGCAACCCTCAAAATAAAATGTATAGACGGTGGTCATGTCTAAGGTTGAATGATTACGAGACGCATTTTGACAATGTTGAAATCCCAGAAGTAAAGAAACGGGAAATACATCTATCATACACATTACCATAAAGACAATCTCTAAACAGAGAACATCAGACTAGTGACAATAATCAGACCAGAGATCAGGGTACGATAGGGAGATAATCTCGACCTAAAATATTTGTAGAAAGGATTTTCATTAAAGTTAGTTTGGGATGGAAAGAGAATAAACCATAGTTACCAACCTGCGTGATTTTAAATGCGTGACTATACCAGTTGGATGGGAGGTAGGAGGGCGCCATGGTCCTCGTGGTCCAGGGGCGGAACCCCGGTGGGGACCCGGGTTCCAGTCACATAGGCCTAATTAACAGCAAAATCACACGCGACTACTGAATTCTAATAAGTGTGTGGTTGGCGTTGTTGTTTTGGTAGGAAAAGAGAAATTTTCTCGGTGAATTGATTCTCGAACGAGATAAACACAAGCTCTCTAATGACTCTAGCTACAGCATGACCGTTTTTATATTTTTAATAAAACCAATTTCTTCTATTTTTAAATGCATTTTCCCCTTAATTCCTGATAATTCGTTATCACGCATAGACTTGTTCTAAATGCGGGACAAATTTATGATCACACATGTGTTTCTGCAAAATGCGTGTTTCATCCAAAATCGCTTGAAATGCGGGACCGTCTCGCACGATGCGAGACGGTTAGTAACTATGATAAACATACGGTACTGGTAATCTTCTGAACCACCTCCACATTGATGATGGCAAAACTCAAAACTATATGCCAAAACCAAAAACAAAAAACAAACTTAACAATATGGAATTAAATCTACGTAAAACCAAATGTCAAAGAAATCATTATTATTATTATTATAGAAATTATAAACGGTAAATATGTTATAACAACATAACATAGGCTTACTAATGATTACTAAAAAGATAAAACGAATAGTATTACCTGTAACTATCCTAACTGACAATGCCTGTAACAGCCAGACAACAATGACACTTTTTTTACTCATGACGGTTAGCGCCAACACCATATACCTACATTATCAGCAACACATTACAGCTTAGAAAGACTAATACTAGCAAGATGATGTACAGCAGCTGATTTTTAAGTATTTGTGTAAGAGTTTCGAAACATGTATGCACCGTATTTTGTAGTTTCGTTTATTTTTTTTAATGAACAGGACAGTATATTCGTCGAATGGTTAGTAAGTTTCGATACGTAATACTGTATATGTTTAGATAATAATTCTTTCCTACGACGCGCACCGATGCGTCCAGCAGACATCAGTTTCATAAGTTCTTCATAAACGTTTCGATGCTATCAATTAGAAAGAAATACAAAAATACAAACATTTCTTTGAATTATTAGTTATTATTTGTTTATTTCCGTCTTAGGGAATTACACCAGTTACGCAAGACATAGAAGATCTGGTTGCGATATTCAAAAAATTATTACAAAGCAATGAGCTTATTAAATCCAGATATATACGAATATTTTTTTTTTAAATAAACGTGGTAAAAGCTAAAATGGATACTGAAAATCTTCTAGTGATTTCCTAATTATTAAATTCATGATCTTGTTTCAGTGGTATACCAGTACATTTTTTACGGTTTAATTTGCTAATTAAAACTTAAAAGGTAGGCATTGATGCCATATTGGTCAAAATGTTTAATTTAACGCAGGCTAATACTGCTCAACAAACAAGAAACATGGACCCATATACACTTTCAGATATTGATTGGAGCATTAGTTATTATTTGTTTATTTCTGTCTAAGGGAATCATTCTAATTGCGCAAGATATAGAATGGCTGGTTTCGTAGTTCAAAATGAATTACAAAGCAACTTGAGGTGGTGACAATTTGTGCTCGTGGTCTTCAGGTGAGTAATAATTTTGGGACAAATATGACTATTGTAATTTACTCAAATGCGAATCTGGGTTTAATTGTGTTCTGTTTTCTTGTCCGTCGTACAGAGCTATTTAAATAGTTCTCGATCCAATCTTTTTAATTGAGCTATTGGCTTTTCCCACCAATCTACTAGGAAAACCAAACGGTCTATACCGCTAAATTACCGGTAGACCTGGCTTGAACAGAAACAGTCGCTGAAGCTTGCTGGTTGATTCGTGCCTTACCATCCCAGAATAATGAATGGGTTGAATTTTTGTCAATGTTACAACATATTTTTTCCCTTTAACAAAAAGACGTTAGCTCCTTCAAATTTATATCTGCTTAAGTGTTGTACTGTATCTGTGTAGACCACCACCACACCTAAACTAGCTATAAATGTTAGCCCACAGCACCAAAATTATATCTTAAAAGTTAAAAAAAAAAGAAGCCTGAAGGTGAAAAGAAGAGAAGAAAGCAGTAGTGAACGATTACTGTAAATTGTTTGTAACTGTTCGCATAGCCTGTCGTATGAATTGTTTATACTTCACAATTGTGGCTCATTCTACATTTTAGTCTGTTATTTAAAATGTGGTTCATTTAATAATAATTGGTAAATGGAAAATCTCTAACCATATTTTGTCAAATAACCCTCGATAAACACTAATAATGCATTGGACATTCTGTATATGTAGGCCTAGTTTATGAACACTTTTTTGTGATGAAGAGTAATCTATCTCTCACACGAAAAAGAAGCTTTTGAGCAACATGCTATAGGCCTAAAAGGAAGCCAGCTCTGCTTTTAAATTGTTATCGAACTCTTTTCAATTTTGTGAGGCATTCCAAACGTCACACCGGCCGTTAAATTTGGAGTTAATGACCATTGTTTAACCTTGTCGGTACAGAGAAAACAAACTATAATATCATATAGATTCCTTTTAAATATTTAGAAATTATATGGTATTATGCACTATATAAATTTCACAACATACATACATACATACAAAAGGTGGCTTTAAAATAATAGACTCATTATTACTATTACTATTATTATTATTACTATTATTATTATTATTATTATTAATATTATTATTAATATTATTATTATTATTATTATTATTATTATTATTATTATTATTATTATTATTATTATTATCATTCACTGGTTTTCGAATTTTTGGTTAGATTGCTCTGACTGTTTTCGGGAGAATGTTTGTATTCTCCTCCTGATATTTTGTCAAATAACCCTCGATAAACACTAATAATGCATTGGACATCTGTATATGTAGGCCTAGTTTATGAACACTTTTTTGTGATGGAGAGTAATCTATCTCTCACACGAAAAAGAAGCTTTTGAGCAACATGCTATAGGCCTAAAAGGAAGCCAGCTCTGCTTTTAAATTGTTATCAAACTCTTTTCAATTTTGTGAGGCATTCCCAACGTCACACCGGCCGTTAAATTTGGAGTTAATGACCATTGTTTAACCTTGTTGGTACAGAGAAAACAAACTATAATATCATATAGATTCCTTTTAAGTATTTAGAAATTATTTGGTATTATGCACAATATAAATTTCACAACATACATACATACAAAAGGTGACTTTAAAATAATAGACTCATTATTACTATTATTATTATTATTATTATTATTATTATTATTATTATTATTATTATTATTATTATTATTATTATTATTATTATTATCATCATTCAATGGTTTTCGAATTTTTGGTTAGATTGCTCTGACTGTTTTCGGGAGAATGTTTGAATTCTCCTCCTGATGGCCAATGCCGTAGCCAGGATTTTCAAACAGTGCATGGCAATATCAGGGTGGACCCACTTTACGCACGCGCCAATTCAAATAAAATGGACCCATTTTCTTAAAAGTTGACCCATTTTACGCTAAAATATGAAAAAATCTGGACCCATTTCCTAAAAATTTACCCATTTTAGGCTAAATATGAGATATTTGGACCAATTTTTTGCATAAAATTACCTACATAATTTGGAACATTAAAGATTGTTGAAATAAATAAATAAATAAAAAACTATTTAAAAAAATGTGGACCCATTCGAAAAATTGTGTGGGACTGTCCCAACTGTCCCAATAGCTGGCTACGGCATTGCTGATGACATGTTTAGCCCCAAATCTAAATCCGCACCATGATCACTGGCATACTTTAGATACTGTTTGAAATCTGCACTATATTATACTAAAGCTCATCTTTTCCAATAAAAAAGTTTCTATTTTCTTCTGACATCTCAGTTTAGTCCACTTTGTGTTGTCAGATATGGTGCAAGTTTCCAGCATATTCCATTTGTTCCATTAAAGTCTGTGTCGAGAAGTGAAAATATATTTAAAAAAATGAAAACTTACGTTACAAAACCAGATGAAACTATTTGAACATACATAGCTTTCAATTTGAATCATATTTTTGAATTATATTAAATTAGCTATTTAGAATTATATAACGGGTCAATATTCAACATCAAAAGATAAAAAAATGTTATTGCAATTATTTAAAAAAAATTGAATTATATTCCTAAAAAATTATCAATTAACAAAAAAAAAAAAAAAAAAAAAAAAACAAATAAAAAATTCAATATTCAAAAAGCGTAAACAAAGAGGCATAAGAAAAAAAAAACATTACACATTACTGAATTACGCAATAAGAATTATATTGAAGAAAAGCTAGTTAGTAATATAAAAATAAGGTATATAAGGTAGGCCTATATACAAAATCAAAAGATAGGCCTAAATAAAAATCTTATTGCAATTATTTAAAAAAAATTAAATATTAAAAAAAATATAAATTATAAATTTATTTAATTTCCAGGAACAACAACAAAGGAACATTGGAAGACAAAATGGAAAGCTCCAGCTGACAAGTTAAACACTATATCACAGTAAATCCATCCAATAAATCAAATCAAATCAACATTTATTTCACTTATACATAATACATAATGTAAGTGGCGAGACCTCAAAAAGCAGACGCCCAATGCAAATGAGATCCGCAAAAAAAGAAGGAAAAACTTAATGTAATGTAAATATCTTTCGGCAATAAATCAGGCAATAATAGCGTGTGAATAGATAATAATAAAACATATTTATTAGTAAAAAAATAGGCCTATTATATAAGAAAACGTATAGAGGTTTATTGACTATTTTATATTATTTAATACACAGGTTTTCAGTGCAGTCATCATACATTATTACTGCATAACCATTAAATACATAGACAGAAAATATCTTGAGAATAATGCTGTGTGCAAACTTACAAACAGTGTGGATTAAATGAGCAGATCCCAATGAAGATTAAGGCAGGTATATTGTAAGAATATAATACTAAATAGATTAAATTCTATAAAGTGAAAAATATTATTCAAGTATATAATAAAACCTTACCTCTTGTTTTCGTGTGGCCGTTTTTCTTTTGTATCCAAATTCATTCTAAAAATATATTATATATATATTATTAAGAAAATATAATATTATTAAAAGTTACGCCTACAACAATACAAATAGGCCTATGTACAATGCGATTTTGTGTTTATATATAATGTTATATGTCAAACCTGTTTAATTTTTCTGTAGCCGACCCGTCCAGCAAATGTTAGGATGACACCAATAAACGTGCCAACGAAGAAAATTCCAATTATCAGACCAGTGAGACTGGTTGCAACCGAAGTATTAACTTGTTCTAATGGTGGACTTCCCGTTGCTGGTTGGCCTCTCATTGTTGGTGGGCGTAATGTTGTTTTTGGGCGTAATGTTGTTTTTGGGCTTTCCTCTGTTGATTACGAAATTATATACAATTTTCAAACAACATCATGTAAAACATATTGCTTTATGTATTGTCACGTCAAAACAATGGTAAAATTTGTTTTTATAGTTAATTGCTAATAGTAATAAGTGCAAACATAAACCGATTAGGTCGTTCGTAATTTATTTTTTGTTTTCATCGTATCACATTACTG